CTGATGCGAGAGAGAGTTCAGCGCAATCCTCGATAGCTGTCTCTAAACTTAAAAATTATTCGTTACCAAAGCTGTTATCTGTTCAGCAATGTTTTATCCTCAAAATGCATTCATTTTCGTACAAACCTTGTCTACTTTATGAAGCGTCTTGTGCGTAAGCTCATCGTTATCTTATACCCCCAGGTTTTGAGTCATCAGTGAAATAAAAATTACATGCATGCAGATAGCTCATAATGACGGAAATAAGACAAATTAGCCTTGAAATTGTGCACTAAAGTCATACCTGATACCATTTCTAATTAAAATATTCATTATTTCCAAAGACTTTTTGAAAATTTCATTCCGATCACTGATCCTCATATCCACAATAAAAGAGCTCTTTTGACCTCAGGTCTTGTGCGTCCTCAAAGTTGTGTTGACCGGTTTGTTCATTTTCACCGTCTAATTGGTGACTTCAAATTTTATTAAATTGAGGGTGTTTGTGGTGTAGTTTGACAGCTTGCTCGGTCTCCGTAGCTCAGCGGTTTTGGCACTGGTCTAGTAAACCAGGGGTCGGGAGTTCATTTCTCCCCGGAGGCAAAGCGCCTCTATAATAGGGGAGTGCGATAGACTTACCTCCATGTGGTGCGCCATGGGCAACGTATACTCATACGACAAAAAGTCTATTAACCGTCAGTTGGCTTTTGGCTTCAAACTACAATGGCTCAACTATATGCCATATTCTACCACTTCCACAGTACTCATCCTATCTTTTCTCTGCCATTGTGTCTATCTCTTTTGCATCTGTAAATCACTCTTCTGTTCCCCACCCCTTGACTTCCTGTTACTTTGACGTTCCTTCCCCTTGTGAAGACCGAAGTCAGCTAAAGGACTAATGATAACAATCAAAACACCTGCCATTTGATATAAATAGTTTGGCAGCTTAGTATATAATAATATCTTAGTAATTCTGCATTTTCAGCGAGGAACATAAAAGAGCATCGTGCCTAATGCGCAAACATTACTGTAAACGCACCTAGTGACTTTGAAGACCCGTAAAAGTCGCGCGCATCGAAACACGGAAACACCAAGAGGAGGCATTAAACCGGTCATAATGAAAGTAATTTCAAGAATACTGCAAATGACCACAAAGCAATCAAATCGGTTGAACATGTAGTCGAAGTAGCATCGCACTCCTAAACTGTACATTTTGAGCAGCATTTCGATGGTAAAGAGAACCACAAATACGATATTGGCATAGTCTAAATTGAAAAAAAAGTAGTTAAGTCAAGAGTAAAATCTTTAACAAAAAGAAAAGGAATTTCAATCAACTTTGAAAGTGATCAAGCCATTTCGGTTGACCGTAGTGCTCTGAAGTTAGAACACCAGTGTTTAGGAAGACAAGAACAACAACTGTCCAGTAGAAGGCTTGAGATTTCACCATTCGTCGACAGGATCTTCTGCATCTTCGATTTAGCCGTCGAGACCGTCGACTGTAAAATGAGAATCAGAAAAAGGAATGACAAGTCAAAGAGCATCATATTTTTGAAGAATATTGCACTTAATATACCCTCTAATTGGAAAGCAAAAGAAATATTGTTTCTGCTGACTCGATTGAGTTCGATAGTCAACATCATCACCACGATCTGAATCGTCATCGTCATCTTCAGGTCCCTGACTTCGTCGACAAAGACCGCAGAAGTTGAATCCTAAATAATCAGAACGAGTTTACTATTTAAATCAAACTTAAGTAGTTGACATAAAAGAGAGCCTCACGTTTTTCCTTCACATCTAATCGATTGGCGTTGTCTTCATCATCACTGAGGTCTTCTGCTGCACCAATCCAATCTAAATATCCCTGAACATCCTCAGCAAACTGCATTTGCTCTCTTGCCTTTTGATATTTCCCTCTCTTCTTAGCCTTTTCCCGTTCTTTGGAGAATTCTCTATTACAGCATAAATAATTGATTATATTCCTGAACCTACTATTCACACTAATATATAATCTGAAATCAGATAATTTAATAGGCAACTTTCAAAAATTTAAATTACAACACCTTATTGCAGAAATTCATCGATCTTGGAATCTGAATTATTTACAGCGATACGGGAATTACCTTTCAAATAATAAACATAATATTCTTATATAACGAATTGTGCCTATAAATAAATAAAGTAAAACAAAATCGCAAGGGCATATTGACTTGTTCGCGTGAGTATAATTTGATCAATGATAAAAAAGAGTATAGATTGGCAGGAATATTGGATAATTCGTCAAAAATTTAGTTGGACTATTATTCATTCCAGATTACTCCGGTTATAAAAACAATTTTGAGCATTCGGGTTAATATTTACACATAATTTAATTCAAAAAAATTTAGTTTATTTATTAGAAGCTGCATAGCTATCACAAACGCAATTAATAAATATTATATTGACTCGTTGGGATTAGCGAGTTCGATAACTAGTCCTTATGAATTAGAAGCAATTAAAAAATGAAGAAATATTACTCACATTAAATTCACATTAGTTGTTAATGATTGGTTGTTTTCAGGAACTGTGACAGTGCTATTAAAGTCCCCTTTGAGATTTTTTGAACCGCTATTAAGGACTCAGATCCCATCCATATCAACTTCTATGGAGAGTCAGTTGATAGTCTGACAACCCATTTCCAGCCATACCTTTACCCCTTACTTCTCTTACCGTCATTAAAATAGTTAAATTGTTTAATAACTCTTCATTTACAACACTTTGGGGTCTATTCCGATATTACGTTAATTGACCTCTATTCTTCGCCCATCCGTGTAGGGTTGAAATTTGAGGGGAGAGCCAAGTGGGTGTGCGATAGACTTACCTCCACGTGGTGCACCCTGGAAATATGCCTTCACTATCAACATCTTATTTGGAAGCGGAGGGGTGTGTGCGATAGACTTACCTCCACGTGGTGCACCCTGGACAGCGTGCGATAGACTTACCTCCACGTGGTGCACCCTGGGCAACTTTCAACCCTTGCTGGTTTTCTAAACAATTATTCTTAAGAATACGATAGACTTACCTCCACGTGGTGCACCCTGGACAACGTACTTTCAAATGGCAGGCGTTATGATAGGTATCATGGGGTGTGCAATAGACTTACCTCCGTGGTGCACCCTGGGCAATGTATATTAACTTACCTCCACGTGGTGCACCCTGGGCAACGTACACTCACACCTTACCTCCACGTGGTGCACCCTGGGCAACGTATTCTCATTCGGCTACCTCCACGTGGTGCACCCTGGGCAATGTATACTCATACACCTCCACGTGGTGCACCCTGGGCAACGTATACTCACGATAGACTTACCTCCAGGTGGTGCACCCTGGACAACGTATACTCAAACGGCACGTGGTGCACCCTGGGCAACGTATACTCATACGGCTCCCACGTGGTGCACCCTGGGCAACGTATACTCATACGGCAAACAAACTGGTGCACCCTGGGCAACGTATACACGGCAAAAGAGTCCGTGGTGCACCCTGGGCAACGTACACTCACACCTTACCTCCACGTGGTGCACCCTGGGCAACGTATTCTCATTCGGCTTACCTCCGTGGTGCACCCTGGGCAATGTATATTAACTTACCTCCACGTGGTGCACCCTGGGCAACGTACACTCACACCTTACCTCCACGTGGTGCACCCTGGGCAACGTATCCTCACGATAGACTTACCTCCAGGTGGTGCACCCTGGACAACGTATACTCAAACGGCACGTGGTGCACCCTGGGCAACGTATACTCATACGGCTCCACGTGGTGCACCCTGGGCAACGTTTACTCATACGGCTCCACGTGGTGCACCCTGGGCAACGTATACTCATAAGGCACCACGTGGTGCACCCTGGGCAACGTGTACTCATACGGCAAGTAAGTCTATCACGTGGTGCACCCTGGGCAACGTATACTCATACGGCAAACAAACTGGTGCACCCTGGGCAACGTATACACGGCAAAAGAGTCCGTGGTGCACCCTGGGCAACGTATACTCATGCGGCAAAAAGTCTATAAATCGGCAGTTGACTTCTCACTTCAAACAATCATCACCTCCACTGCATGTCATATTCTACCCCTACCACTACTCATCTTACTCTTTCTGAGCCTTTGTGTCTGTTTGTTTTACATCTTTGAAACACCATTCTATTCCCCCTCCTGAATTCTTCTCACTTTGTTGTTCCTCCTCCCCTCTGTGAAGCCTGAAGTCAACTAAAGGGCTAATGATAACCATCAAGACGCCTGCCATTTGATATAAATAAATAAATAAACCTCTGTTCTTCAACTCCCGCCGGCCAATTATTCAAGTCGGGTTCTTCACAGCCATCTCCCAACATCTTCCACTTTCCGGTTCCTCACTTCTGAATCTCAGTAAGGTACTATCCTTTAATTGCTTCCAACTCTGAATATTTGTACTCGTTGGCCTTGGTACTGCTAACTTATATGGCAAATACGTTTTTAAATATTACTATTTTGAGTAATGCATTAAATGTTTCCTATAGCTATTTTTGTGAACGAAGATCGAATTTCGGTGGTTTATTCAAATGAAATATTTCTCACTTATTTAAAAAAGAAAAAACGTATTTCATTACTTATACAACTATTAGTCAGATATGGACTAAGCTCATTTAGTTTCAAGCTTGAATCATTTTTTGCAATTTTCATGATATACAGCATAATAATGCATTAACTTATTCACTCCAAGAACTGAAAAAATAAGGCGATAATTCAATACAATAACACGATCTCAAACACTCTCTGCTTTCCTAATGAGAGTTTCACACAGCTACAATAGCTAATACTTTTCAATCGTGGGGTGTGCGATAGACATATCTCCACGTGGTGCACTCTGGTCAACGTATACTCCTACGCCAAAAAAGTCTATCAACTGCCAGTTGACTTCTCACTTCAAACTACCATCAATCTACTGTATGTTATATTCGACTACTTCCACATTACACAGCTCACTTTTTATCTACCTTTGCGTCTGCCTCTTTTACATCTTTGAAACACTTCTGTCCCCCCCCCCC